ACCAAAATCAGAGAAGATCGAACCAAAGAGGCCAATCTACCTAATGAACACACATGCAAAAATCCTCAATAAGATATTGGCAAACAGGGGCTGGAGATTTAGCTCAGTGGCATAAGCACCTGCCTTGCAAGCAGGCGGTCATGAGTTCAATCCCTGGTACCGATAAAAAGGAAAAAGACAAAAAAAAAAAAAAAAAAAAAAGATATTGGCAAACAGAATGCAACAAATCATTAAAAAGATTATACACCAGGACCAACACTTTTCCTAATAGCATCAGCAACACCTGTGACCAGGACATTGCTGTAGCACATTAGGGTTGGCTTGTTAACAGTCCAGCGGGCACCTTCCTCACAGCAACAAATGGCCTCTACTGGCACCCTGCTCCAGGATCCAAGGAATATCTTCCAAATGGTTAATCTTTCCTTCGCGCATATGGGAGTCTATTTATTGGAATCATCTTTTATAACATTCAGTGGTTTCATCAGTTTCCTCATGTGCTTAGCATGCACAAGGCCCTCATGATGTCATAGTAAATCTCACTGTAGTTAGGACCACAAGAATTTGCCAGCTGGGGAACTCTGGCAAGTTACTTTTAACTATAGTTCTCAAAGTATGGTCCCTAGACCAGAAGCAGGAGCAAGCTTTGGAAACCTAGAATATATTCAAATCTTTGGGCAGAAACCTTATGAATAAAAACCCAAGGAGGTGGATCCTAGCCATCTGTGTTCATCATAGCTTCAAGATGATTCTGAGAAATACTAAAGTTTGTGAAATACTGCAGTCAGCAATGTTTCTTAATCTTGGCTATGTAGTAGGGCCACTTAAGAAGCGTCTCAAAAAATACCAGGGTCTCTACTCGTTTTTCTACCTTGAAGCAACTCCAATTGGTGTCAAAGGCAGCAGAGACAGCAGTCTTTTAGCCTCCTCCATGTACTTCTAATGCATAGTCAGAGTTGGTACCCATAGCTGCAAACTTAAATACATGTACACAAGAGAGGAAAATAATACTTAATCTCACAGGGCTGTTGAAGGGATTAAGAGTTAAGTACAGTTCTTAGCAAATGGTAGAACACTTGACAAATGATAGTCATTGTTACAGTAATCCTCAGACTTAGAGATCAGACTCCATCATGGGGCCATGAAAGGACACTGGAGATTGGAGGGCCCAGTAGTGACTGGTTCATTCAGGGTGTGATTGTGAGTTTGCTATGCTATTATAGCTCTCACCAACCAGAAGCACTATGGGTGCTGGTGGGTCTTTGCAATGCTATTTGCTTTAAACTTTTCTCTGTGCTTGTGAAAATGCTACATGTAATGCAATGATCAAAGTATAGGCTTTGAAATTAGCTGCTTGAATGTAAAACCTCTGTCTAGACACTTGTGGCTAGTGTTTTTGGGCACAAAATCAAGCCTCAGACTTATCTGTAAAACAGGAACATTTACCATGGTAGGGAGTTGTAAGATAAGACCTACAAAGCACAACAGCCCTCAGACGATAAGTGCTTAAAAAATGTGGACATATTTGCATTCACTGCTTCTGAAGTCATTCTTTATGGTACAAATCACATTTCTATCTCCAACTCTCCTCTTAAATATTTATATTATTTGTTACTAGTTTGATGCTTATAGCAATGGTCAGTTCTCATGGATATTCTCAAACTGGACTTCTGTTTAGATAAATCTCTCTCACTAAGATTTGCAGTATCTGTTGAGAACAGTTTTTATTCTAAACTCAAAAGACTAATCAACAGTTTTGTAGGTTCGGGGGAAGATGATTTTGTACTGGCCACCTACTTAAGAGTGTTCTGCGGAGACAATGTTAGAAGCAGGGACACAATGCTCTCCCACAGATGACTATTCTCTCTCAGAAACACATTCTTCGCTTGGCTTAACTTTGTTTTCAGCTTTAAGATAAACCTATAGTATTGCCAGATCTCCAAAAAAAACTGCATCTCAGTACTTTCTTCGGCTGGTCCTCATGCCAATGTAATGACCTCTCCATTCTGCAGCCTGTGTGTCATTTAAAAAGCATTTCTCTGTTTTAAATTCAACATGTTTTTCTAGTTATCTCCATATCTAGGCATTTATTATTTGTTTCAGTTTTATCTAAGCCTTCTTGAATGTATCACTTTGTTTTGTTAACTTTTTTAAAAACTGCTTTTGAACTTTCCTTGAGTGCTTTAAGACTTTTAAGACAGGGTTGGTAGGTTAAGGGATGTTTTAATACATACATACATACATGTATGTCTGTACGTTGTAGTTTTAAAAAATGAGTTTCTGTAGTCCATAATTACATATAAAGTATCTGCCATTTATGTCTTCCTCCTGAACCTATCATCCTGCATGTAAATGTGAATGAAGGTATTTTTATTCAAATATTTCCTTGTAATCTTGGGGACTGAACCCAGGGCCTCACACATGCTGGTCAACTGCTCTCTTGCTGAGCTGTACCCTTGCCCCTGGGAACTATTTTTTTCTTTTTGAGATGAGAACTATGTATTTTTGTGGATATCTGTGAACACAGTCTTGGAAAAAATCTTCTAGTAAGACACAGCAATTCTTAATAGTTACAAAACAGTTTGTATAAAAATGCTGGGGTAACCTTGTACAGTTTATATAGTCCTTTGCATAAACATCCTATATTTTGTTAATCCAGTAAAGCATTACAATTTTGGAAAGAAGAAAAAGGGTTAGAGAAGGCATTGTAGAATCACATGGGTGGTGATTTTTGCCTCTGAAATGTGGTTTTTTTTTCACTATGTTATACTGAAATCAAGGACAAAATCCCCCTTATATACTAACACCAAACATTACCAGGAAAGCATAAGTAGTTTAGGTTTTGACCAGAAATCCAGCTGAACAATCTGGCTAACCTGAACATGCAGTTAAGAGATTTACTTATTTATTTATATTGATTATGCTTGTTGTTGTCTGAAGCCATGGTCACCGGTGTCCTAAAACGTGTTACCTTCCATGGAGTGGTCAACCGTTCTCCTACTTCCTAGCTGATTCGCTGCAGTTCAGTGGAGGGTTTTGAGTTATATGCCATTTACTCTTTTTTTTTTTTTCTTTTTTTTTTTAAATTTTTTTTTTTTTGTCTTTTTCAGTTTTTATCGGTACCAGGGATCGAACTCACGACCGCCTGCTTGCAAGGCAGGTGCTTATGCCGCTGAGCTAAATCCCCAGCCCCCATGCCATTTACTCTTAACAGTTGATTTGAGGGTACAGTTTGCAGGCAAATACATTTCGGATTTAGTCTCTTGATTTTCAGCATCAGCAGAGGCACACCAATCTCCTGCTGGGTTACCTACAAACTTGCCCATCAACTGCTGCTAAGGTGCCCTGCGACCTCAGGACCTAAGAGTTTTGCTGAAGTTCTTCTGTCAGCTACCCAAAGACTCAGGCTTACTGTTGGCATCTAAAGCAGCTACCCGCCCAAACACCATGTTGCTTCTAACCTTCTCCTGCACCCAGCGTTTCTAAAGTTGGCGATCACATAATTCTTTTAGGTTGAGGTCTTGTTCCTCAGCCCAACATCCACCTGGCTCAACTGCATTGGTCACATCTAACACTTTCCTATGCAAACTTCAGAGAAGGTGCCATGCTTCATCACATACACAAAACCCACCCCACCGATTTGCTCACACAATCTTAGGAACCACATCCCTTCACTTCTGTATCCTCTATGTGTCAAGCATATGGCAGGCACTCAGTACAAAGCTTTAAATGAATGGATTCTCAGCCTGTACTTTTATCAGACACAAATTACCCAATTTTGGGTACTTAAAAAAAAACAGGCTACAAGCTCTAGCCATGCCATCTGGATTATACATCTATAAAAATAACGTAACATTTGTCTAAACATATGTACTGGGATTCTTACTCATCCAGGATTCATTCAGAATTTCAGGGAGAGACTACAGTAGCTGGGTAGCTGCAGCATGTACTGCTGCTTGTGTATTTCACTTTTTTTTTAAACCTGAGAAAGGTAGAGTTAAAATGTACTTTATCACAGTGCACAGTTAACACAACTGTATTTTTCTCTTAAAGGTGGTTAAGATGCTAAATTTTGTTGTTTTTTACCACAATTTCTAAAATATTTATGGGGCAATGCTGGACTCAACTCTTGGAAAAAAAAAAATCAGCCAGGCATGGTGGTGCATGGCTATAGTTTCAGCACTCAAGAGCTGATGCAGGAGGATCACTGAGAGTTAAAGGCCAGTGTGGGTTGCACAGAGGTCAAGGCCAGCCTGACCTTGTCTCAGGGGAAAAAATATCAGAGGCTCTTACAATCTGTCTGGAAACTCAGCACTAAAGACAATGAAATCAGCAACTAGCTACCCAAATACATGCAGTCACCAACAGAAATATCTTAATACTCTGACTTCCGGCTTAGTTGGCTACATCCAAGGGTTTTCATGGAACTTGAAAAACCCTTCATGGTTTGGACTATGTGTTTCCTTATGACCAACCATAAACCAGTCAGTGGTCCAACTGGACAACTTCTTCTTACTTTCCGGATTTGGAAACTGTGTTGTCTCTGCCTCAAACATGTTTTTTTACCATTTTTCTTCTGAGTATTACTTATCCTTGGCTTTGCTTAAATATCATTTCTTTAAGGGAGGGCTCCCAAATGAAGTTTGGGCCTCTGGTGATTTATGGGATCCATCCATTCATGCACACTTTCACAGGACTCTGGCTTTTTCCTTTGCAGCATTTAATACAATTGCATATAATCATACTAGTGTCTTCCAAAGACAGAAAGGCAGTGTTTCTCCGGATAACCATGTATTACCAGTGGCTCAGTACCTTGTGTACAGTAAGTATTCAATAGTCCCTGTCCCACAACAGCCTTTTATCCCACTTAGATATGTTCAAAGGAATAGGTGGAGGTGCATATTAAGTTTGTGAGCGTGGTGGTGGAGACAATGGCTGAACAGCTAAAGAGATGAAAGATGTTCAGTGGTGAGTAATAAGTGAGGAAGAAAGGGAAAAACGAGGACACTGCTCGGCATTCGTTTAATGAGGCTGCTTCTCCAGTCCCCCAGCAACCCATACCCACTCCAAACCAGCCCCTAAACAATAAATTATAAATTTATCCCACTAGAGAACTAGGTAAACCTCAGATTACAAAACCAAGGCTGAAATGATTTTGTAGAATTAGAATGTATTTAAGAAACCAGGCACAGGAGAGCTGGATTAATTTCTACACCGAACGACTGCTTTCCAGATAACCTTCCCTGAAGGGGATGAGAGTCCTCTGATACATGGAAAGACAGTAAATGTGCTTTCTTCTCTTAGTCACCGAGGAAGAAATTTTCTGTCTTGATGGCTAACACTTATTTCCTTTTCGCTGCTCTTTTTCCTTCTCCTTTCCTTGGTTTGCCCTTTCCACGAAGTTTCTTTAGACGCCTTTGTTCATCCTTAAAATCCTGATGCTCATCTCTGAAGAAAGCAAAAATGATAAACCAATTATTGGCAAAGTACACTAGCAAGTTCTCTTACATTGTTCTGGTGTTTTTGAGACAGTCTCCTAGTAGCCCAGGCTGGTCCTGAACTCCTGGCAATCTTTCTGCCTCAGCCTCCCAAATGCTGGGGTTACAGGTGTGCACTATCATGCTTAGCTTGTTCTGGTTACTGATCCTCGACTTTTCTTGGTGCATGCTGAATTTTGGTGAGCAGAAAATAGGGGGTGCTGGGTTGACATCCAAAAGTTCTTTTGTAAATCAGTTTTTTCTTATGGAAACAATGTCCCAAACTGTAGTTAACCACTCAGACCTGCCCAGGTAAGCCTATGTGATATGATACACAGTAGCTCACAGCCCCACTTTCCCAGCATTAAGACTGAAGTCCTCGAGGGGAGGGGCAGAACGTGGGTACAACCTTCAGTAGCTAACAGGAAGCCTGGCTACCCCAGGAATAGTGAGTATCTACTAGCCATGGGCAGAGGTCTGGAGGAAGCTGCCTTAACAGCAGCAGATATCCCACACAGGAAAGCTGTCGGGAAAGGCTCAGGCAGAAAGAAGCCAGATTAAACAGCTACAGGGCAGCACCCAAGGCAGCCCAGGACTATTTTATACAGAGGGACAGTGCTGGAGTTGAAGACTGCCTGTATTACATTAAAATACCTGCATATTAAGACCAAGAATAGTATAGTGCTGAAACGTGGAAGCTATGAGACCCATTTAAATCTGGGTTCAAATCAAAGTCCTGCCATTTATTAGCTCTGTGATTTTGTGTAAGTGATCTTATCTCTCTCTACCTTAGCTTCCTCATCTGTAAAGTGTAGATAATAATGTTTAAATTAAAGGTAAAAGAAGGGTGTGCTGGGCCCAATTTTTAATTTCCTAAGCTATTTTAAAAAGAGATCTGTTTTATAGAATTTCATGTTTCATTCCATCAACACAATGGCTGGTATATAACAGAACTCTTTGGGTTTAGCTATGAATGTCAAATAATCCTCAACAGAGCAGCCAGGGTAATTCTTCTAAAATAATGTCAGACAAGGTCAGCCCTTTGTTCACAGCCCTGGAAACAGCTTCCCATGTTACCGAGAACAAAAGCCCCAGTCCTCCACCATGGTGCTCGCTGACCCATGGTCCCCTCTGTCTCCCACTGTTCCTTGGTCTGCATGACCCAGGGGCCTTCCAGGCATGCCCCTGTCCCTGGGCCTTTGCTTGGTTCTTTCCCAGGTCTCAGAGGGCTCATTTACTGCCTTTAAGCCTCTGCCTAGGCCCCACCTCCTGTCTGATGCTGCAAGGAGGCCTCTCCCTGCCAACCGCGGCCCAGTCAGCACTCTGGATCCTGCTCAGCCAGCTCTGCCTTCTCTCCCATAGCACATTCAACTCTGTGACACATCACATCATTCACTTACTATGTTTTTATCCCTTGTTCCTTCCCTCCCGTACTCTGATCAGTGCTTGGCCAGAAATGCAGCTCTAAGAGGCAAGGCTTTGTCTCTGTGGGCACTGGATCCCAGGCCTGGTGAACTGACTGAACTGACTGTAGCTGAGAACTCAATTTTCTTTACTGAAGGTTGTCTAGCTGATTCCTGCCTGCTGCCCTAGGAGGCCTGGCATTAGAAGAGCTATTTTATATAACTAGTGACTAAATATGTGAAAATAATGTGTTTCGATTATTAAATGCTGTCTTCTTTCCCTAACTCTAAAGAGAGCCAATTTTTTATTCTCTAAACAAATGGATACATTACAGATACATTAAAAGTAGGTAACTGTAGTTTTGTTATGGGTTATAATCCATTCAAAGGATCTGGCTTCCAATATTTTATTTTAGGTCATAATAATATTAGTTTGTATTTTCTGAACCCAGACTGATGGCAAAGTGGACAATCTAAAGCAATTCCAGACATTCAAACTAGGTCACAGATTAAATCTCTAATAAAACATTTCACCAAGAAAATCTCCTCTGTTTTGTTCACTGCTGTTGCCCATATGTACCGACACAGCTGTTGGATAAATAAAATACTAACCTTTACTTCTCTGGCATGGGCATCATGCCACATTATTAATTTTATTACATTCCTATGAAGGATTCTAAATCAATTTTTGTCTTTTTGCCCAAAGACAAGTTCAGTTTCAACATGTTAAATATTGTATGTACTTTATTATATAATATGTACTTTTAAATTTTTTCTAATGAGCACATACTAGTTTGGAAACAAATTCTTTTTAAAGAAAGTGATCAACAGGCATTGGATCTGTTTTCTATCTGGAGGTGTATAGTCCAAGGCACCCGCCTCCAGGCACACACACACATACCAGTAGGGAGTGTCGAGGGTGTGCAACTTACACAGTTCCCTTAGTGGCCAACTAAGCTGATTTAGATCAAATGAATATATCAATAAAGGCACAAAATAGAAATGCCCGGAGCGGGTGGAAGAATTAAGAATGCCAACAAAGTAGCCACCAGGAGAGAAAGGAGGTTCCCACAGAGAGGCATGTCAGGTGCAGGGCAGGGCCTCTGTTCGTTTGAAGCCAAGAATCTGCTGCCCAGACAACCTCAGTGCTCCTGGGGTTTCCTCCCTTTACCCCTGGCCTGGTTTTTTCCTACATCCTTTTTAGAGTGCTCTTAGATGAATGAATAATTACACCATTCTTTATAGCTCAGTTATCAATCCAACATCAGTCACGGATTAGACATTATTAAAACATCTTTTTTGGGGGTTTGCTCATTATAAGTATTTTGAAAGAAGTCACACACTATACTTTTTGAACTCTCTAAGTTCTCTCAAAAAAGCTATAAAAGTATAAGGATAGAAAGGCAATTTTTCCCCTCTGCTGACCTATTAAAAATGTCTCTCATGGGTCCTTTTGTGTTTCGTTGTTATTGTTGTTGTTATTACCTGTAGAGGCCAAGAAAACGGAGTGTGCCCATGAGTGCGAAATATGTGTTGTGATTTGGGTACCAGTCGTAGGTCTCCTTCCTCTTAGCCATAGGCTGCTCACTAAAAAGTTTCACCACTTTCATGGATTTGGAGTCAGTTGGTCTGGCAATCTCACCAAAGAGCCGGGCACTCAGACGACTCATGCGCAAGGCATAGTCTGAAAGTGAAGACATTTCTTGAACAATGAGGAGCAAGACTTCCTACAGGAAATGAGAGCAAGGAGAGGCAAGTTAGGGTGAGAAATTCTGACTGTCTAAAGACCACATTAGAAAATGGAAATAGGGCAAGCCACACAGAAACACTATTGGTGGGACACTCCTTGCAGGTTGAGAAGTAGCGACAGTTCAAATGACTACATCCTCCGCGTATGTCACATGTGATATTTACAGTTTGTGATGGCATCCTCGTATTTCCTTGCTGTATCTCCCCTTTTATAAGCCACTGTTACTGGCAATTTACCTCTTTGCAGGCTGGATGGAGAGGACAGGGGAACAAGTTATTCCACTATAGCATTGTTATTCTGCTTTTAGAAAACAACCACCTAAGCAATCTGCAAATATATATGCTGATTGCTTGCCATCTAAAGGTGTAATCGGGGCAGGGAAATAATTATGCTGTTGTCTTTATCACCAGGCCTTTGAACGCTGTTCTCCTCAAGGGCAGCAGATGGCTCTGAGAACTGCTAATGAGTTATGAGGTCATCTGGCCTCTAGGTTACTGGATTGAGTTCTGCCTGGAGACTGAGAGCCACTTGGGAAAAACACATAGTAGCCTCATGGAAATAAAAACTCAACAGCTTGAAATAAGGTTCAACACTCAAAAGATTCATTTTACTCCTGAACAAAAGTCACCTAGGAATTGTGCTGTTACCTGATTTAGCCTTGACAAATGAGCTAAGTTCTTATTAACAGCAGGAACTGTTAATTTTGTAGAGGCACAAAATGTTGAAATAGACAATAAGTACAAATGAGAGCTATGACATGCAAAAATTATAGCTAATAGACATCAACAAATATATAGGGATATACATAAAAATCTGGACTCCTGTTAGTTGAATAACGATGCTATTTATTCCATTTTAGATCAGATGTATAGGTTATTGTTGGCTGAATGTGAATTAATGTGAAATTTTAATAGTGAAAATTAAAGGACTAATTAAAGGAAAATTAAACTAAAGGACTGTCTGGAGCACACTTCAGATCGGATAAAAAGGAGCTGATTTCCAAACCAAAAAAAGGGCACAAATTACCTTGAAAAACCAATGAGAGAATTATAACAAAAAAACCTAAGCAGGAACAGTGCCAAATAGTTCCTCAAATTTTTACACATTATTCTTATAGATGAGCCACAGCTTATTTTAATTAAACAAATGCACAAATGAACAAACAAAATACATATAAATGTACAAGAAAAATGCCAGTAGCCAGGCATGGTAACACATGCCTATAACCCCAGGACTCACGAGGCTGAGGCAGAAGGACTGCTACAAGTTTGAGGCCATTGTTGGATATATAGTGAGTTTAAAGCCTACTTGAACTTAAAAAACAAAAACAAAAGCAAAACCCAAAAAACTCAAGCAAGAGGAGGAAATAAGAATGCTAACAAAACTGACCAGCAGCAAAAGCAGGCTCCCACACACCTGCTGAGAGGCAGATCAGGTGTGGGGCAAGGACTCTGCTCACCTGGTAAAATTTCAACATAGCGCTCGTTCGCAAGAAAACAAACTCAGTGTGTAAACCAAGGATGTTTTAAGATCCATTAAGAAACCAAAAGCTGAAAAAGTCAAACCATTTCTCATTCTGCACACCAACCAAGCAATCTTGGGCCAACAGTGCCACCTGAAGGCCACAAGGGGAGAATGATCAGCCTCAGGTCCCCCAACCCTGATGGCCTACAAGCCATGCACCTTCTTTCCCCTCTTCAGTCCACTTTTCTCACAATTCTTGCTCCATTACACAGATGCAGATGAGACTGAGTTGGTGCTGTGAGAACTATGGTTATAGTTTTTATCAACAAGGTCAGGTTATTAGCAGTTTAATGTTTAAATAAAAACTGGTAACAGATCAGTACCTCTGAAGACCTTGCAAATGTCCAGAAGTCCCTTTGGAAGCTGCAAAGTTTCTTTGCATGCTTTATCCTTTCTCTTCCTTCCACCATTAGAATAATGCGTTTCCAAACATCAGTTTAAAAAACTTTCTTCACTGCTTTGCCTAACTTATTAGCATTATGGCATCAGAATAAATTTCTACTGTAATCACACAACCTTTATACAGATACTTGTAAGTTGGTCTGGGAATTATTACGTACTACAATGTTTTCAGGAAACCAGTTTTTTAAAATAGGCAGCATGGAGTCCTGATGCTTGGCTCTGTCACTTATTACCTGTGATCCAAAGAGTTACTTATCATCTCTAAATCTGAGTCTCACAGGTTAGGGGTTGAGGGGTCTTAAACTTTAGAGTTCTCTTGCAGGACTACTGTGAGAAAATTTTTAAAAAAATAGTAATTAAAAACAAAACAAAACCAAATCTCTTTGCAAGTTTGATGTTCCTCTGTTCCACAACAACACATCTGTTGATTACTTGTCCTTGGTTAGTCATGGAAAAAAAATACATACCTCATACAACTAGACCTGAACAGTACCTCCTTGCAATGATATCTTCACTTACAAGCCTGACAGCCAGAGAAACATGGTAGGGAGGGGCCAGCACCTTGGTAACGTGACAGGTAGCAAAGAGGACAGTGGTCACTCAGGACATTACAAGTTGCTAAGTTATCTCCAAGCCCATTTTGCAATAAGGTAGATTACTGGGATACACAATTGATAAGCAGTAGGATCACATTAGACTCCACTGGGACATGATTACACTACAAAACCCAAGTCCTAAAAATTTTATGATAAAGGGAACAAGCCACTTTCTACTTGAGTTTTTAATTAGAAGCAAAAAAACCACTTGCTAAACAAGGGGAAACTGAAAATACCTAAAACAATTACCAACAACACTGCTTTTTACTTCCACAGAGCACAGACACTTGTCACAGATGGGGAATGACACCGGAACTTGGCATCCTACTTTTTTTAAACATAGGCTAATGATTTTGCTGTAAGTTTGGCTTCAAGACTGACGAATGGCAATTTTTTAAAAATTAGCTTTAAATTAAAAAAAATCAAAAAGCCTTACTTAGGCTTTTTCAGGACTCTGTAAAATTTCCTTACAGAATCTTTCAATTTTATCCTTTAAAAATAAAAAACATTATGACTATGTTCATGACATTAAAAGTAAATGGCAAATAATTCACATGTCAATTAGATTTTGAGTCTCATTAAAACCATTTTAAGGGATCAAATAGTTGCTTTCAAATGTCATCTTTTATTAAAATGTGAAACTGAAGTATAGTTTTGTGAAAAAAATAACTGCAGTTAACCAGGCTAAGCAAAATAAACTTCAGTACTCACATATCCTAAGGAAGACAAGCCCATGCAAGAAAATTCTCGTATTTTCCCCCCTATGGCATAATAGGGCAAGTTCCTTTGATTTTTATGATGAATTTCAATGCATTATTTAAATGCATTCTTACGTATTTGACAGGTAATTTTATTTCAATAACTGGGTTTTAGTTAGGTTTGCCTTTTCTCTTTGAAAGGTGAGGATGAAGTGCAGGAGTTCTTAAACTAGGGGTGTCTCTGCTTTTTGAACTTGTAAAGCCATATGGTTACATGTGCACATACATGGGTAATTTTGGTGGGAGGAAATTTTTCAAAAACCAGTAGTTAGCAGATAACGTCAGCCTCGAGGTAGATAAGCTGGCTGACGCCTGTCTTTTAACAGCCGTGTCATTTTCATATTCTACGCTTCAGTTCTTTCACCTGCTAAAAAAGGGCAGTAAAAAGTACTTACTGAATTGTGAGGCTAATATGAAAAAACCTGTAGCCAGTGATTACTCTCGATCACGAGGACCCAAAGAACGCACACACACTACACCTGTCTTGTCACCGAAAAACAACCTAATCAGAACGCTTTTCTATTTTAAAGTCCCCTAACAATTATTTTATAGGGTAAGACCGGCACGAATGGCGCTGAACATGTTAACTGTAGTTCAGTCCAGCAAGAACAATCCTTAAGCCCTGCTACCACCCAGATAGAACCTTTAGTAGTGTCAGATTTCCACATTTGAATCGATAGGGTAATACCAGAATATTTTTCTTAAAATATTAACAAAATTAATCTGCATGACCTACACAAAGCTACCATGCAGAAGGCCATTTGGTGAGCAGAGAAACTGAGTCATGACTGTAGTAATCTGGGAAAGAAGAACAGCGTCGGAGAGCAAGTTACAGCGCCAGAGACGCTGGCGGCCCTCCTCTGGTATAGTCTCCCAATTACAGCAGGAAAAGGCCACGGTATTTGTACGATGCAAGTGAAACCTCCGAACTGACCACTACGCAACTGAACTCATCCTGTTCCTGGCTACTGTATAAGCATGAAACTCCAGCAGGGGTCTAGCGGGCACAGCCGCTGGTTAGCTCTGTGCAGACTCGGGCCGCCCCGGACAGCCTTACCTGGTGCAGCCCTTGCTGACCCACGCGCCCTGGCCCGGAAGTCCCGCCCTCTAACCCGCTCTCAGCTCCGGACCGCGGCTACAGAGAACAGTAGAAGCGGAAGTTTGGCGGCTAGAGCGGAGCCCGGGTAACAGCCCGGAACGACAAGCTTCCGCTCTTGGGGTGGGGCCTTGGAGGTTATACCTAGCGCTTGCGCAGTGAGGCTGGCGCATTGGGGCGGGGGGTCGGGGTTGCTAGGCTGGGCGGTGAGACCTGAAATTGAAGGAGGGGTACTCCTTTGGAAGGTCGGTTTAATTTTGTTGGGAATGGCTGCAGAGCTGCTTCCATTGGCTCTAAAATAGTGGCGATGCATGCGCTGTATAATGAGAGGATCAAATGCAGTTTATTTCTTCCCTTTTTTTTTTCCCTACCCAGCGTTGATCTTCGTGTTCCAAGAGCGTTACGTGACACTTGGGCTTAGTATTTCTGACCCACCAGCAGGGCCATTTCCCTCTTTTTCCTGTTATCTACTCATCCTCTGTCACGATCACCTGCAGGAGCCCTTCCTTGCTTGCTCTTCCCCGAATTAGGGACTCTGAGCTCTCTGTCTCTGTCTTTGGTCCCCCCCACCCGACCCCCAGTAGAAACACTGGATGTTTCACTCTTTTAAGGTAAACCAGCAGCCTGTTGTATACTTGGCTAGTGAGTTATAAACTTGAGTGTAATGACTACAGTTACATTTACATGGTGAGTTATAGGAATCGTATGCATAATTACATTCCAAAAATGTTCTCTCAGAATTCTTGGGAGAAATTTCACTTGGGTGTTGTGTTTCTGTGGGCTTGGCTTATTTTTATGTAATACTCCTTTTGTTGGATAAACTAGAAGAATTCCTTTACATGTTGGCTATAAGAAGATTTAAAGCCAAATTTATAGTTGACTGTAGCAAGAACTATTGTTCTATACAGTCATCTCTTGCTATGTATGTAGGTTAATCAAGCATTTGCTTAAGTCCTTTATGTGAAATATAGTATTCACATATACATTATAGCTTATGCATAGGTCCTTTGCATCTCAAATCAAATCATCACTAGATTACATTACCAAGTACAATATAAAAGCTATGTAAATGGTTGTTACACTGTATTAAGGGAGTAATGACCAAAAAAAAGTCTGTCCATATTCACAACAGATGTAGTTTTCTCCCTAAATATTTTCCATCCATGGTTGGTAGAATCCACAGAGCCCATTGACATGGAGGGCCAGCTGTATTAGCATAACTTGTTGGCTCCATTTGTGTATACATCCTTGTTTTTTCTATTTTGCGTATTGTTTGTGTTAGTAGTATGCTTTGTGAATCTCCTTAAACTACCATCAGTCTTTCTTGAAACAAGGTATATTAGTCCATTTTTTGTTGTTAACAGCCCAGTATCACAGATTTGGTAGATTTACAAAGCAGAGGTTTCCTTTGGCTCACAGTTCTGTTCCAAAAGTGAGGGCAACATCTGGTTCTGACAGTTTTGAGATGGTGCAGTGTATCACATTACCAGAGATAGGTAGCATGTGTGTATCGTCTGTCGTCGGTGGTCATTCTTTTACTATACAGCCACAAGGATTCAATCATGAGGGCTCTACTCTGCTGGCTTTATCAAACCTTACTTCCCGGGCCCCATAGTTGGATTAAATCTCAACATATGAACCCCTGGGGGACACACTCAAACCATGTCCAAGTCCTAGCACAAGGAATAAAAAGTGGTAGGTGAGTGTTTATAAGCTTCTTAGGATTCTTAAAAAGTCAGATTCTTGGGTTTCATATTAATTTCTGGAGGTTGCTATAACAAAATGCCACAAACTTTGTGAATAAACACAACAATTTATTTTTCACATTTCTGGAGGTCAGACATTCACATTGATACCACAATCAAGACATGGACAGTACTGTAATCCCCCCAGAGACTCCAGAGGAGAATCAGTTCTTTGATTATTCCAGTTTCTGGTGGCTGTTGCCACTCGTTGTATTATGGCCACATCAATTCAAGGTCAGCATCTTCAAATAGTGTCATGAGTCTTATTGCTCCTTTCTGTTTGTGTTAGGTCTCCTATTCCTTCCCTTTTATAAGGATACATATATCCTGACATGGTGGCGTGTACCTGTAATTGCTGCTCTCCAATAGTCTGCGGCAGGAGGAACATAGTTTGAACTCAGCCTGAACAATTTATTAAGATACTGTCTCAAAATTTAAAACAGGGATGGGGATGCACTTCAGTGTGAAGGTTTGAGCGTGATACTCAGCACTGCAAAACAAAAGCACAGAGTAAAACAAAATAACCCCAATAACCAAAAAACTCACAGTTGCATTTAGGAACCACTTCGTTAACGTAAGATATTCCAACCCAAGAGGTTAAGTTTAATCACATATACAAAAGCTCTCTTCCAATATAGGGCAATGCTTGAAACATCCAGGAATTAGAACCTGGTATTTTGGAAACTTTTTCAGCCCACAACAGAGTAGGAATGAACAAACCTATGCAACTGGCAAATCAGACTGTTATTAACCAACATTGGACTAGTAATGGTAGAAAAACTAATGTAATAAAATAAAATTTAAACTTTTGCTAAGTGTAATGGTAGTAGGACACCTATAGTCCTAGCACATGGGAGACTGAGGCAGGAGGATTACTGTGAGTTTGAGGACAATCTGGGCTACATAATGATTTCAAGGCCAACCTGAACTACATGGTAAGACCCTGTCTCGAAAATGAAAACAAACTCCCCCACCAAAAAAAAAATGTGCCAACAAACTTCTGTGGCCATTCCCATTGCCAGGCCTTGGCTCATTCACTTGTACCTCTAGACCAATGTTTCTTCAAGAATACTTATAATCAGAGGTTGCTATATAGTCAGGTTCTATACCTTATATTTATTTCTGTGTTCTTTGGCCTATTTTCCCATTGTGGGTTGAGAATCATTGGTTAGCACTGTAGTTTTGGATCTTACATGTCAGCAAGGCCCGTGTGCTAAAGGTGTAGTCCCTAGGTTGGTGGATCTTTTAGAGGTGGGGTCTAGTAGGAGTTATTGTAGGTCATCAGCAAGGGGTGTCCTCAAAGGGGATAACATGACCTCAATCTCTTCCTCTTTTTTTATTCATTTTGGCCATGAGGCATATTGACTGTTTGATCAGCCACATGTTCCTTACCATGATGTGCTGCCTTGCCATAGGTGCAAAGTAATTACTGACCCCTCCAAACTATGAGGCAAAATAAACCTCTCTTCTTTATAAATAATTTTATCTCAAGTATATGTTATAGTAATGGAAAGCTGACCAACATAGGTGGTTATGACATCAATTTATTGGGTCAAGGGCAGCATTAAAAAACATTAGGATAGGAAACATCATAGTACATCACAGGTAGAGGTGGTAATTATTATTATTTTTTTGGTCTTTTTTCCTTTTTATCGAACCGGGGATCGAACTCACGACTGCCTGCTTACAAGGCAGGTGCTCATGCCGCTGAGCTAAATCCCCAGCCCCAGAGGTGGTAATTATTATGTTATGAAATAATATACATGTGTGCATCAGATCAAAAAATGAAATATACTTAATGTTATGGTTTGGATGTAAATGTCCCCCCAAAACCTCATGGAATTTTAGATTGGCCTATTTCAGAATCTAGAATGTATGATTCTAGAATCTAGAATGTATGATTGCTTGGGGATTCAATGCTGGCATTAAAGGTGCTGGGAGCAAGGGTGGCTGACTGTTGGATCAGTTCACTGATTGAATTGGTACTGCCCTAATCTTGGAAGCCTGGATTGAGTATAAAAGGGGCGGAAAGATGCTGTTAAGTTTCAGTTGTTGATGTTGCTGTCTTTCGCTGCCATGAATTGTTGCCTTTCCGGCATAAGCCACCCTTCCTGGGAACTAGCCAATTGTGGACTGTGTAATGGTTAACACTCTGTGTCACCTTGAGGTAAAAAGTTTAAGCGATTCAGCAAGGACTAGGGTCCTCTGTAACATCCTCAGCCCGTGCAAAAGGAGGGCACAACGATGGTATGAGTGCTACACTCACCTGAGAGGAGCAACCTGAACACAAAAAAGGCAAATGAGGGAAGACTGACTGCTGGTTCTTTAAAAAATTTCCACTCTTTGCCTTTAGCTTGGACATTATCTCCTGGTTTCTGGCTCGGACTATTTTTCTTCCATCTGGGACTCTTCAACCTTTAGTGCAGACTCTTCAGCCTTCCATCATAGGTTTTTCAGCATTCCATTGCAGACCCATTGGCCTTCTGATATGGACTTGCATGGGACACTGCAGCAAGCTCCAGACCTTGGGCTGGACCCTTCAGCCTCCACGATGTAGACATCCTCTGCACACTTCTTCATCCAACTTGTGGCTAACTGTCATAAATCAATCTTGTAATTTTTTATTTTTATTTATTTATTTATTTATGGTGCCAGGATTGAGCTCACGACCTCATGTTTGCCAAGCAGGCACTTACGCTGCTGAGCTGAACTCCCGGCCCATGTAATTTCTTATACATTTGTATACCTTGTGTTATATCTGTTTCTTTAGTGAACTCTGACTGATACAGATTGAAACCTCTACAAACTGAGCTAAACAAACCTCTTGCCTTCTAACTTTGGGTGTTGTTTATTTTGTATCAGCAATGAGAAAAGTAAGAATTTGGTACTACGAGTGGGATCATTGCTGTGACTGTACCTGACCACTGTGGCTCAGGAGCCTTTGGGAATGGCTTGTGGAAAAAGGTTGGAATGTCCTGTGATACTGGCTATCTTAGTTACTTTCTCTTGTTGCTGAGACAAAATACCTGACACCCAAAGTTAAGGAAGGTAAGGTTTATTTAGCTTATAGTTTGTGGAGGTTTCAGTCCATACTCTGGTGACTCCAAGTCAGACTGGCACATGTCAGAGGGCTGTTAACAGTTCATGGTGGTGGAAAGCAGTAAATCATCAAGAGCAGCAAAAAAGGAAGGAATATGAGAGAAAACTCTGTTCCTTATATTGTAGGTAGGTGACCCACCCTAGGACAAGCATAGCACTCACACCCATAATCCCAGCATTTGGACAGTTACAAACTATAGAAGTCTGACCCCATAACTTCATGAGGCTTATGGGTACATTGAGACATAGACCATAAAAATAGATCTGGAAC